TTTTTTTTTATATTTTATTTTCACAAATTTCCTTCCAAATTATTTTATCATTTTTCTTTATTGAAAATTGAAATACCTCGAATGCATATAATTATAGAGAGTTAGTTTGGCTGGATAGTCAAACTCACTCTCTAAATTAAAATATTCGTTTACAGAGTCTCTTGAAATATAATTTTAAGAATTAACTTTTTAAAATAGAGAGTATCTTATATTTAAATAGTCTCCTAAAGATGTTCTAAGTCCTTTTTTGATTTAGCTAAACATGATTAAAAGTTAAATCAGAATTAATAATCAATTTTAATCATATCTTTCATAAATCTTTATTTTTTAAAATCAATTTTTCAACTTATATTTCATTAACTTTTATTAAAATCCAATAAAAGTATAATGTTTAGCAAAATTAAAGAAGACTGAGCAGCAATAACATCACGGAAATAGGATGGCATTGAAACTTATTATGTTCGAGAAGACCATAACGTTGGACAATTCAACAATAATAACAAGTAACTAACTTGTAAAGAATTTTCCTATGTAATGAGAAGACTGTAAAACATTATATTATTTTATGCGACCCCATTTCTCTTTATTCTACCTAAAGAACTAATTTCAAATGTTATCCAATTTGCATGGCATCTTAATAGTCAATAATACTGATAATTAATAAATATTGGCCTATTAATTATTATTAATTATAACAAACCAAAGTTGACAAATTCCCCACCTGCTAACTTCAATTATTCAACGTACTTCATTTCACGTAAACGTGCTTTAGACTGTCTTTATCCTTCCTATCCATTGATTAAATCAAATTGGGTTTACTAGACTCTTTCCTAATAAAATTTCTATGTAAAACTTAATAATTTTCTCTTTTACAATCATAAAACGGAAAAAGTATTATTGAATCTTAAAATTTCAATCTTAAAATATAAACCTTGTTAAGAGGAACGTATTCCAAGCAAGATACTCGGGTTTTACTTAATTATCGATCGTGTCCTGCAGAATAAAAGTTATTTAGAAACTATTAATTGCTCGTTTAAATAACTGTTCGTTTGAACTTTTTATTTAGACTCTCACTCTCACATTAAAATAAGTCTCGCAGTTCATTTACAAAAATAATTGGTAAATGAGTGCATGCAATGGGCCCCACGATTCTCTATTTGCCATGCAATGGTCTGCATGATTAGGTAACTAATCTGCTTGCACGCCAAAGAATCTATCGGGAGCCCTATATATATTGGCCCCAAATGAATTGCAATATTCACCAGGCAACTTGAACTTTTTTCTACTCCCAAGTCCCAACTGATCAATCGATGGCTACTTTTTCAGTTGTCTTTTTCATTATCTTTATGCTGTTCATTGGCAGCTCTTCAGCTCAACTTTCCACGAATTTTTATGACAAGACTTGCCCCAAGGTGTTATCCACCGTGAAATCGGCAGTCAAGTCTGCCGTAGCAAAGGAGAAACGTATGGGTGCTTCGCTTCTCCGCCTCCACTTCCACGACTGCTTTGTCCAAGTAATTTTCATTTTTAATTACACCCATGTTTGGTTTAGAAAAAAAAAANAAAAAAAAATATTTGAACAGCTAAATTATACGATAAGCTTTACCAAATATGTATTTAATCAGATTGAATTGCTCATTTGAGTTTAATAAGTTTTGATATCATATTAAAATTTTGATTTTGATTTTGATTTTATAGGTTAAATTTTTAAGAAAAGTAGCAAAAAGCTTTATATGTTGTTTATAGTTTACATTATTTCTCCAAAATCAGCAATTCCCCACTTATTTGCTCAAATGATAATTTATTTGTATTTACAAAAGAGTATAAATGAATACAGAAATGTCATACTCATAGTAAGAAGTCTTATCGTGTCCATTTGGAGAGAATCGTACTTATGATTCTCACATTTGAAGAGAACTATAAGTAAGGTTCTCCTATCACATCAATAAGTCAGCAGTCTTATCCCGTCCACTCTAGACAGGAGAACAATTTCGTAAATCTATATACTGAGGTGTGAACGAGTTTGGTGATGGACTTTTGACGTTGCGATATTGTGCGATAGCTCATTCTTGTGTGTTGTAAGTTTTGTTTCCTTGAATAAGGGATTTAACCTAGATGTTCTAATATCTCTAATGCCGCAAACTCAATCATTCATCATTTTGTCAATGAGAATGATTTATTTCTCAGAATCAGTGAGATGAATAGAAGAAAAAATGAGTTAGATTAATTAACGAATGAACATGTAAAATCACTTTCTAAATAAATGATTTTGTATTTAATCAAGTCATTTATATTTTATTCAGAAACGGAAGATAAGTAAGATAAAAATTCCTTCTAAAAAAGCATGTGTTTTATTTAAAAGTGACAGATAGTAATTTATGTATTAAGAAAAAGTTATTAAAAGTAGCTTAATTTTGAGTTTACTTCAAAAGATTAATATTTTACTTAAAATTAAGAGAAAATTAAGTTATCTATACATGTTTTAGAATTAAGAGAGAATACTTAAAAATAATATTTTACTTAGAATTAAGAGAAAATGAAGTTATCTGTACATGTTTTATGAAAAACAAATTTAACTAAAAGTAACTTTATATATTTTTTTAAGCTTGATCCTAAAAGTTAACATTTTTACTTAAATAAAGTAAAAGAAATATAACTTATCTATACATGTCTGTAGTCGAAAAAGTTGCTTGAAATTAAATTTAATTTTTAAGCTTACTTTAAAGAAAGTAATTTTCCAAATATGTTTGTAAATAAATATTAATGATCCTTTTTCACACTTGGAAAAAAATATTGTTTTCAGCTTTCTATTTGAAAATATTAAGACATTTTTCTAAATAAGGTATGTCAAAAAATAATCATTAATGAATCTTCAGTTTTCCACTTTAATTTTATTCCAACTTTTGAAACATGATCTTAATAACTATTAAAAATATATTCTTTATTTTTTCAACAATTTGAGAGTATCTATAAATTTAGAAAGTAAAATTTTTAAGTATTTCAACGGACTCTTTATATTTAACACTTAATTTTACTACTATTAAAAACTATTTATTTTTTTTT